AAATCTGTTTCTGAAGGAAAACAGTTAAAAGATGCAGAAGAAAGCCCACATCATACCGAGGAATCTGCTGAAGAGAATCCTGGTTCCGAAGGGAGCCCTGCTGAAGACATGGACACTATCCCACAAGATGCAGAAAATGGAAATGAGGAGATGCAACACTCAGAAGAGAAAGAAGCAGATGAACTAAGTGGAGGGTCAAGAGAGGTTAACGAGGAAGATCCGTCAGATTCTGAAGGGATTCAAGAAAAAGATGATATTTCTGGCAGTCCCTTGAAACAGGAGAAATCCCATGTAGAGGCTTCAAGTCTTTCTGATGCCGGGGATGACGAACTTTCTGATGATGAGCCTCTTGTACTCGCCTCCAGCCTTGCTTTTTAATATGAAGAATGTTTAAGCTGTGTTAGTGGATTTAAAGCTAAATTTTAGGTTTTAATTTTCTTTTTCTTGTGTGCCATTGATGCAGAGCAAGTGGACGCAACGAGTAGTGAAAAAAGGTTCGAAGCCAGTGCGATAAGTGGTTGAGCCACTTTGTACGGCTTTACCTTGGCTTGGCTGCGGGGCTGTGTGTAATCTGTGCTGTTTCCATTTGGCGTGGGCGGTGAAAGAAGAAAAATGAAGAATGAAGAATGAAGAAGGGTGGCCGGCAACATTCATGTAGAATGTAAAAATGACAGCGTAGGCATGTAATATCCATCCCACTGACTGTAGGTGAAGAAGTGTTAAAAAGCTTGTAACATTTTGGGCATCATTTAGCAAGTGACAGCACGGACTGTACGTACCAGACTTGGTAGTGGTTAGCTGATAGATTTTGACATGGGATTAATGGGCTCTACTGTAGTCTAGTCTAGTCTAGTCTAGTCTAGTCGACGCTAGTTTACCGCCACGATTTGTGTTTTAATGTCCCTGACATGTACAGTAGGGTTTTATACTGGGATAATGGTTGGTTCTGTTTGTGTTATTCTTGCTTGAATCCTAATAACACCCGTGGAAGTGATAATTGGAGGGTTTTATTTTGTGCATTTGCTGCTTCTCGAGCAGTTGATCCTCTTGTTAATTACTTGTTGTCGTTGTTATTTGGAGTCCAGATTTTTGGTCAAAGTAACGTATTTTTGTAGTGGCCAAAGAAAGAGTCAAAGACTAAAAGAGCGTTGCAGTAATCATAGTAGACTAAGCCTTGATTAAACTAATCTAATCTTCATATCTTTTTGTCTAGTGATGCACGTGCAATTGTGAATCGGAGAGGAGGGTTCACATGGGCATGGGCATGGGCATGCAAATTCTCTGTTGAATAACACAAATTCTTGACCAACTCTACTCACCCATTCACACCTGTTGACTTCATTTTTGGTTTCCTAATACTAATTTGATACAGCCATCACCGCTACTCCCAACCAAATGTTATTTTCTTTTCTCAAAAAACACGATAATTTATTGTCTTTTATTTATTAATGTAAAAGAATAAGAGGATTTTAACAAAAATTTTCCGATGCTGTTCATTTTAACGAAAAATCACATTTTTACACAAAAAAATCAATTCTGATACTATTCACTTTACCTTTAATTTTGTCCTTATCTTTAAAACTCAAAGTTTTCAAACTCTTTTCATTAATTTTTCTAAAAAATAATTATATTAAATTCATCTAAACTACAATAAGAAAGATATAAACTTAAGCAGAGAAAAATGCAAAATATGAGAAGTAGAAATTTCGAAAGATAAACACTGCGTCAAGAGTCAGCTCATCAGACGGTCTCCACTCGTTCAATGGGATTAGAGCAGGTGTTGTTTCCTGCCATTGGTCAAATCTTGAAAGGCACGTGCCTGCGTTAATCCAGTAGCTGTCCAAGTGCCTAATTTTGGCGGTGAATAAAGCCAGAGGGAGAGCAATTCCAAGAAATAATTGGGAGAATTCGATATTAATTCTCCTTCATAAATCCTTGAAAATAAATCTCTCCTGCCTGCGTGCCTGGTAAGTCAAGTGATGTTAAGTGACTCTCTTTCTTTCTTTCTGTCTCTCTGTCTTTGGTTTTTGTTCTTCATGATATGCTTCCAAACAACTGCACTTGTTCCCCAGATATGATCCTACATATTAATTAATTTTCTTTTCTTTTTCTTTTTTTTTTAGTTTAGTTTGTTGAGTGAGTGAGTGGTGGCTAATGGCTATTCTTTTCTTGCAATTTTTTGGTTTTGCTGCCTTTGAGTTTCTTGGTAATAATATATTGATATGAAATGTGAGATAGATTATCTGGTTAATCTAGTTAATTTGGGTCTTGGTTGCTAAATCTAGCTTCTTTTTTCCTCTTCTGTTTTTAATTTTCTGCAAAGTCTCCGTCTTTTATTTTCACACACAAGTCAAGTGATATATACGTATATTATTTATGGGTTTTATTTTATGTGATCGATCTAAGATATTCTCGAATAATCACACAATTTTTCTCTAGTCCAAACCCTTTTGCATTACCTTAAATTATATTAATTGTCAAGCCAATGTTATGTGGAATTGTTAGTAACTGCGCCTTTTCGTTTACTGAGTTTTTGTTCTTCTTCTTTCACAAATATTCTGCGAGGTTCCATGGAAATTGTTTGCATTTTGTAAATGTTTTGGTTCAATGCCCTCTGGATGGATGAATGCTGGGTTTCTTTTACGGTTGGGTTGGGTACTTGGGAAGTGCAAAAGAGCATAATTAAGTAATATTCATTGGGTGGTGGTGTTCTCGTGCATTTTCTTTTCAAACTTGAAATGGTTAAATATGTCCGAGTCATGTGCAGAAGTTGGCAAATTTCTGGAAAGTGGAAAGGAAGTATGGCAGATTCATTGGGTTTGATAAAAGTTACAGTCGTGCAAGGGAAAAGACTGGTCGTCCGGGATTTCACGAGCAGCGACCCTTATGTTGTTGTCAAGTTGGGCAATCAGGTAACGAATTTGCTGTCCTTTTTCTTCTCAACTGTTTTTATGAAGATCGTAGTTATGCTTTAATACTATGCGCCCCCGCACGCGCGGAGACACAGATTCTTGTTCACAGACACACGGGACTTTCAGGAACTTCACTCTGAGCTGAAGTGCATTGGATTGTCTTCAGGGGAATTTGTGTAGCTGTCCTCATAGGCTTCCTTGATAAAGACCTGTCTTTATATTCCAGGAAGGATGAGTGTCAGTTTCCCCTTTAACTGACATTGAATCAAATTTCCGACAAAAGATGTTGAATGAAGGCAAAGTTATCTTCAATGCTTAATGATTACGATAACGAAAGGGCTACCTCGCTTCTTTATTGTTTAGCCCTTCAACTGGAAAGATGTTAGTTTTACAAACTGACTGAGAAACTTTGATATTTCACCCAGTCTTTACTGTAGCCAGAATAATATTTGAAACTCGATGCATGATTTCTTCTTATAGTTTTTCAAGAGATCAAATTACTGAAATTGATGGTATTAAGGAGATTGTGCTTTGTTCTTCAGAAATAAACACATGCTAAGATTATACTTGTTTTTCAATCACTCACACTTCAGTGATCTGCAGAATTGGAGTATCCTATTGTCTATGCTTCAAATTTCATGCATTGGGTTTCAATGGTTCAGGCATAACTATAGATTAGAATATCATTTCAGCGTTTCTTTTAGGGGCCTGTTTGTAAACAGGCTTATAGTATCTTACATATTAATTACTTTGGATGTGAATAAAGTTGTTTTACAATAAAAGTTGGAACCTTGAAGCGGCTCATTAATATTATCTGCACCAGGTGGCAAAAACCAAGGTTATCAACAGTTGCCTCAATCCAGTTTGGAATGAAGAGCTAAGCTTCTTCCTTAAGGAGCCTATTGGAGATCTAAGTTTGGTAAGTTAGGCATTTGAATTTGGTGGTAGCCAGTTCTTCTGATGAGCTTAAATGATTATGTTATGTTGTTTGGTAAAAGCCTGTGTTTTACCAAAATTAGACCATTAATTTTCCTTAATTTGTATGTATTTCGTTGTTTCAGTTTTGGTTTGAGTCCAGTTAATTTGTTTTCTATTTTTCAGGTTTTATAATGTTCACTGTTGTTTTGAAATCAACATTCCTGAGTAACTTGCTAGTGATTGATTATATAATTGGTGAAAATAACTTTGGAAATATTATTGCCATTACTACTCTTTTAGGCTTGTACGACACATGACTGAAGTGATTTTTCCATAGGAAGTGTTCGACAAAGACTTTCTGAAGACGGATGATAAGATGGGACATGCTCACCTCAGCCTTCAGCCTATAGTCTCCGCTGCTAGATTGAGCCAGATTTTGCGTGTTTCTTCAGGTGAGACAACATTAAGGAAGGTTGTCCCAGACGGTGAAAACTGCCTAGTTAAGGAAAGCTCCATCACAAGTGTAGACGGTGAGGTGGTGCAGAGTGTTTGGTTGAGGCTTTGTGATGTTGAGTCAGGGGAAATCGAACTGAAAATCAAGTTCCCTAATGCGCCGGTTGCGTAGTGCAGAAGTTAGGGTTGGCTTAGGTGTAGACCCTAACAATGGGGAGAAGAATTGAATCTTTATAGCATGGTCATTTTCTGTTGCAACTCCTCTAGGAATGCCAAGGAGATTGACAATGTAGTGGTATGAATTTGTACTAGCCCAAGGGGGAGCAGGTTGTTTCAACTTCTGAAGACTCGTTAATTTGGAATCCTGTGCATGTATGAATGTATTGTAGGTTTTATGGATAATGGTGTCATCCAATTCTTCTTTAATTATGTAGAAACTCAATTTTTCATTGTTTACTCGACTGATCTGAAAAAACTATTGCAAATGCAAATGAGGTCAGGCCAGTTGCTCAAGATAGTATACTCGTCTCTTCGTTCGGGTTTGAATCCACTCCTCTAATATATAGTATAGAGTAGTTTTGTGAAGAAGATAACATAGAAGAGTTCATAATTTATTATTATTATTATTATTATTATTCTTTGTAGTGAAAATATTGTTGCTTTGTGACGGAGTAAAAAAAAATAGTAGAATAGTTTTGAAGACCTAAACCCAATAAGTTGAAGAAACACGTTTGGCCCGTTAAGTAACTCCAAAAGGTTGGCCCATTCCATATGGCCCACTATTATATTAATAAGGGATGTCGTATTTGGGATTGGCGCGTAAATCGTAGTCGATGAGTTTGAGGAGGCTGAAAGTGACGGAGGGTGAACCGGCGAGCCCAAACCCTAACGTCGACGGTGACGATACCATCAAGGCCAAAAGGCAGACGGTGGTTCTGGGCAATGGAAGCGAAGTTGTGTTCATACCAAGACTGATTAGCTTCGATCAGGCTTGGAAATGGTTCGATTACCTCGACACCCAAATCGCTTGGACCCGACCCACCATTCGTGTCTTCGGCCGCTCCTGCCTCCAGGTCTCTCTCTCTCATGTGTTTTGCGTATAAATATGCCTTCTTTCTTCTATCAATTATGTTTTCTTGGTATTGTGGATTGTTCAATTCTTGTTGCAAGATTATTAATGTGGGAATTTATGATGGTTTGCAATATGGTGGGAATGCTGTTTGGAAGTTGGGTTAAATACTGTTTATAATTCTACATGCCTTAATTGAGTAAGGGTTGATCGAAATTTGAAATTTGAACCCAATTAGTTTGTTGGTAATTTGGTTTGCAGCCTAGAGATACATGTTATGTAGCAAGCCCAGGACTTCCCCAATTGGTTTACAGCGGGTACCAGCCTCGTGCCTATTCATGGGATGATCATCCTCTACTTAAACAAATCTTGGAAGCGGTAATACGATTCATTATCATAATAAATCCTACCATTATGGTACCGTGGCTCATCATGTGTTCGTTTACCTTGCTTAGGTCCATAAAGCTCTTCCTGGAAGCAGTTTTAATAGCTCGCTCTTGAATAGGTATAAAAGTGGTAATGACTATGTTGGCTGGCATTCTGATGATGAGAAGCTTTATGGTTCTACTCCTGAAATTGCATCCTTAACCCTTGGATGTGACCGTGAATTCTTCTTGAAGAAGAAGAAACCCAGTAAAACAGTCCAAGGTATGATCAACTGTTTTCTCAATTTGTTACTTAACCTAGTTTTCATTGTTTTTGTTATGGTTTGTTCATTTCGTACGTACTGTTGACAGTTAACTACACATATAGCCACAAAAGTATTATCCGCAGCAGCTTTCCATATGCACGACTAGAAGCCTAGGACCCGTTTGAATAACTGTCACCGTAATTTTTACGAAATAACATAAAACTTGCGGTGTAAATGCCAGAAAGAAGAGATGAGCAAGAACCTGCAAGTAAGCGCATAAAGAGGAATCATGCTGATCAGCACTCTTTCATGCTTAAGCATGGATCACTTTTGGTGATGAGAGGTTACACTCAAAGGGATTGGATGCACTCGGTGCCTAAGCGGTCAAAAGTAGAGGCAACTCGTATTAACCTCACCTTCAGGTGTGTTGTCGGATAGGTTATAGCCTATTATAGGATTAGAAGGAGAGTATTTGTTCATCTTGCTCTTTGTTTATTTTTATGCATTTGATGCAGAAATGTTCTTGAAGAACCTGGTGCGTCTGCGGCTAAGTAACTTCACCACATCTGTACTTTCTCCTAAGGGAAGAATGCAGAGCTGATTTCTTGGCCTTTTTGTTCTTTTGGGGCCTTTTATGTTGGTTAGTTATGAAGATTGTGGATGTCTTGTCTGAACCAGTTCAGTTGGTATGTGCTCGTATGTAAGTATGTATGTATGTTATATTTCTTTGGGGTAAAACAGGATTTACAATGCTCTGTTATTTTTCTCAGTTTTGTTGCTTGGCTGGTAAGGTCCTTTGCCCTTGTGAGTGAAAGAGTGCGGTAGATAAAGCTTGTTAAGAGTCTTGTTGTACTGTGAGTTTGCTGAAATATCTTGAAGCAGGTACGATTGGGTTCTATATGTCACACGTTTTGACTCTGGAGTTCCTATTTGACCTCTTTTCTAATTTAAGTGCAAATGAATATGTCAAAATCAGCGCGACCAAATAAATAGAGTCGGAAGGATTGACATATTCATGTTTGATTGATGCGTTTCCAAGTATTTCTGAGATGAAGCAGTGCAATGCTATTAGTTTTAGTTGTGGGACGCCTAACATCACTGCATGATCTCGACTGCAATAATTTGTCTGTTAATTTGTGGTTTTTTTTTTTTTTAGGTTCGCTCTTAGTGTAAATTTCTAATCCAATCTTAATATAATCTAATGATTATTGATAGAAAATGAAAGATAACAAAATCCAATAACCAAACACAGAGACAAAAAAGTGGAAATAAAATGGACTTGGATTGTCTGCCCTTCCATTTCGGTGCCCTCTTGTTTGTGTGGTCACGGTTAAGTTACATCAATATTTTATATTACTGTTTCTTTTTGTTTTATTATTTTTATAAAAAATAATATAAAATGTTGATATGGTTTAATCGTGACTACACAAAACAAGGGGCACGGGAGGGCACCGAAATGAGAAGACAGACAATCCAAGTCCAAAAAAAAATGAAGACTGCCCAACTTGGGAGTGGGGTCAGAAGTGGGTGATGTTTGCGGTTCCCGGCGTAGAATGATAAAATTCTGGACTGAAAAACTGATGATAAAAATCCAGCAAAACAGGCAACGACAGTGATGATGGCATGGGCATGGGTGGTGCAAGTCAGAAGAAAAGGACAAAGGAAGGTCAGTCAAGTCCTTAATTAAATCAATTAATTACTTTAAAACGATAAACTCGAACAATCATCAATCATGCTCATGGGATAATCTTCTTCTTCTTCTTCTTCTTCTGCGACCCAACCTTACGAGGCACGTACTCTCTCTCTGTTCGTTTGCAATTGCAACAGCGATCCTCCATCGCTCATGGCTTCTCCATCTTCTTCTGATCCTATTCATCCTCGAGGTAAAGTAAAACCCCCCTCTTTCCTTCCCTCCCTCTCTAACTGCGCTGCTTCAATTTTCCATTTCTTCTTGTCTCTTTTTTTTTCCTTCTGATTTGGGGGGACGGTGTTTGCTTGTTTGTTCAGATGTGTGTATAGTGGGAGTCGCCCGCACGCCCATGGGTGGATTCCTTGGCTCCCTCTCCTCTTTCTCTGCTACCCACCTCGGCTCTCTTGCTATTCAATGTCTGTCTAACCTCTCTCTCTCTTTCTCTCTCTACTTTTTCTCCTATTAGATTTATGATTGTTTCGATCAACTGTAATAAAATAAATGGTTAGGTGCTCTTAAGAGAGCAAATGTGGATCCTTCCCTTGTGCAAGAGGTCTTCTTTGGGAATGTTCTAAGCGCCAATCTTGGCCAAGCTCCTGCCAGACAGGCTGCTCTCGCTGCCGGCATCCCCAACTCTGTCATTTGCACCACCATTAACAAAGTTTGTGCTTCTGGGATGAAAGGTTAGCTCCCCCACTCCCTTAAGTTGTTTATTTCTGTCACTTGTGATCTTCGTCACTGTCACTGATCCCTGCGCGGGTATTTCTTTGTTCAGCCACAATGCTAGCAGCACAAACCATCCAGCTGGGTCTCAACGATGTCGTTGTCGCTGGTGGCATGGAAAGCATGTCCAATGCCCCTAAATATCTACCAGCTGCCAGGTTAGCCTTTTTCTCATTTCCTTATTGTTGTGTCTACCAGCTACTGAAGAATTAAGATATTTGTAAGTCTCATGGTTAGGGGACTTAGTAAAATCTTGCAATCCATATTCCACCTGAAGGGCTTGCACTCATGTTGGTGCGGTTCAGTGTGCTCCTAAATGTACCTAATTTGTGTTCGTGACTCTAATTTGCAAACAGGCAAGGGTCTCGATTAGGACATGATACCATTGTCGATGGCATGCTTAAAGATGGTCTTTGGGATGTCTATAATGACTTTGGAATGGGAGTTTGTGCAGAAATATGTGCTGATCAACTTTCCATATCAAGGGAAGAGCAGGTAGGGTCTCTCAAGAGATTGACCTGCTAAATTATATTGATGCATTTCATCTTTAGGTGTTCTGCAATCAATAAATTTATCTGAGAGATGGCTTTTCTTGTATTTGTGGCCACATCAGATTCATAAATTTCTGTGCTTAGTGTGCTTAGAAAACAGACTGCTTAATCCATCAAGATTGGAACTGTAAAATCTTACAGTTCAATGTATGTATTTTGACATATAATTCCCTTGTCATACTAAGTTTAACTTACTCTTGTCACTATCTCTAAGATTGGGCTATATTAATGTTTCCTTGCAGGACTCTTATGCTATTCAAAGTTTTGAGCGTGGACTATCTGCGCAAGATGCTGGTCTCTTTAAATGGGAAATAGTTCCGGTGTGATTTCATACTGTGCTAACTTTTCAGCTTATGCTGCAGAAAATGCCAATGTTAACTCTCAATCTTCTGCTGCAGGTTGAAGTTTCTGGGGGAAGAGGAAAGCCTTCCTCAACTGTTGACAAGGATGATGGTTTACAAAAGGTAAGTACAATAGGTGGGCATGGGATAAACTTACATGGACTATGTTTCTTTTAAAGTGATAACTACCATATTTTACTTTGCAGATCAGAATTGCAAAACTTTTCGAGTTTTAGTGATCAAAGTATATTACCTATATCTTGATTTCAACTAAATGTTGTAGATTTTCTTGACAAGGAAAGTGGGGATTTTAAATTGGTTGAACTTCAATATCTGGTTGTAGTGAGTCAAAATTCTACCTCTTCCAACCACTTTGTTCTCCCCCTTATTTGACAATTAACATAACTTTTGAACTTTAATTTCATGGTTTTGGAGGTCTACAAAAATTTCATTCCTGTATTATGATTTCATTTTTCAGCATCAAAATATCAAATGCACTTCCATTGTCATATGTTTTATCTGCCTTTTGCTAGTTTGATGCTGCAAAATTAAAGAAGCTTCGACCAAGTTTTAAGGAGAATGGGGGTTCTGTTACTGCTGGCAATGCTTCTAGCATAAGGTCTCTCTCTCTCTCTCTCTCTCTCTCTCTCTCATTTTTAACGATGCATAATGGGTTGTGTTTTTCTTGGGCAGCGATGGTGCAGCTGCACTAGTGCTAGTCAGTGGGGAGAAGGCACTTCAACTTGGGTTACAAGTAATTGCTAAGATTAAGGGATATGCTGATGCAGCTCAGGTAGTGACATGCCATTTCTCTTTATCTTGGTTTGGTGGAGTCCAACTTGTTTTGATGCTAAAACAAGATTGTCTGGACAGGCGCCTGAATTATTTACAACTGCTCCAGCCCTTGCACTACCAAAAGCTATTTCAAATGCTGGTTTGGAGGCTTCTCAAATTGATTACTATGAAATCAATGAAGCATTTTCAGTAAGACCACATGCTTTTATATTTTGATACTTTGATACATCTTTTCTTTGATTTATTTAGCATTTTCTGAAAACAAATACTTTTTAACTCTGCAGGTAGTTGCTCTTGCCAATCAAAAGCTGCTGGGCCTTAATCCCGTGAGTCTTTCATGCAAAGTTATTGAAATCAAAATTGATATGGTGCACTCTGAACTCTCAAAACAGGTCATTTATTTATTTATTTTCACAATTCGTCTTTCTTATGAATTCAGGATAGAGTTAATGCCCACGGTGGAGCTGTATCTTTGGGACACCCGTTAGGATGCAGTGGAGCTCGTATCTTGGTCACATTGTTAGGGGTAAATCAAGGATTTGCTTGTTTCTGTCATGTGATTGTTAATTTTCGTGAGTGTCCCTTAATCGAAGAGTAACGTTGTTGCAGGTACTGAGACATAAGAATGGGAGGTATGGGGTTGGTGGCATATGCAACGGGGGAGGGGGGGCATCTGCTCTTGTTCTTGAGCTCATGTAAGGCTTTTACATTTGGTAAGGCGTATGCTCGATTCAAATTGAATAGTGTCTTGTTCTTTCCAATTCCACCGGCTGCTAGTGCTATAACAATTGCCGATGTTTGTCCCCCTTTGGATGTGTACCTCTGAATTTTCAACAACCTTAACGAGTAGAGGAGTCAAATCACTAATGAAGTAGTTTTGATGTTGCACTTGCAGGCCAATAACTTGGCGGCTGGGACCGTCTTTGTTATGAATGACATCATCATCATCATCATCATCATCATCATGTTGTAAAAGGTGTTTTAACTTTGTTTCGCAGCAACAAGTAACAAAGGTTTGTAATTGTAATTTGTATGTCAGTAATTGATGCTTGAAGCAAGAAAAGATGTGCTCTATTCCTCACTCATTCTTTTTGTTCTATCCTTGCATACTATATATGGAGTATGGTATACGAAACTACAGAGAATCAAAACCTTTTGTCCAACTCTTATACTACATTATTATTACCAAGTATGCTGTGCAGCGAAACAAGCACCAAATAGGGTTTAGAATTGTGTTTTTTAGAAAATCACAAAATTGTTAAAAAAAAAATCATGAATTTTAAGTTTTAACCCCGCATTTTTTTAATACAAATTTTTTATTTTCACGAAATATTCTGCGTGTGCATCCAGAAATACATTATAAGACATATGGAGCGGTTTTAATTTTTATTGAGTCACAAATATATTTTTAATAGAATATTTAAGCCCAAAAGTAAAATATAAGTGAAAAATATGGTTGTGAGCCCTAAAATATTGTCAAAACAGTTGTCCACTCTCAAGAATATCAACGGAAAGTTTTACATTTACATTTACATTTGTGGCTCAATAAGTGGTAAAACCACTTTCAATTGCCTTGTAAGGTTTCTCTTACTCATAACGGAAAATATTTTGCTAGATAAAAAATTTGTAGTTTTCTAAAAATAAAAAAGTGGGGTAACTATCACTGTTT